ATTTCATATCTCCTAATTTCATATATTGAATCCATCGATAATTATTTTTAACATGTTTATGTTATTTTTTTTATATATGATGATGATTATTATTTTTTATATTTAAGAAAAATTCACTATTTTATTATCTTAGATTCATTATTAATCAGAATTAAAAATATTATTTTACTTTTATAGGGATTTGTATAATAGAAAAGAATAATATCTTAACATTTAAAAGAAAAAGTACTTTTTAATTGTTACATATTTTCATCATAATGCCACCCATAAACAATGTAAAACCCTATAATAATTATGAATGATAGAAGAAATCGAACTTTTGAGGCAGTTGAGACATGCATGTCATTCCACGATCTCACGCGGGAATACCATCGATTACCGCTCTCTTAAGCAATTAACATAAAAAGGAGGTTACTCAATCAAAAGAACAATAAAAAACTTGCAACTTCTTTCCAAGTTAACATAAAGTAAAAGTATTAATTTGTCACCAGGAAGATTTTTTCCCCCTTTATTGTTTTGCACGTAAAATACCATAATTTATAAAAATGAAAGGATGCAAATAATGAGATTGTTCCAGAAATGCAAATATTGGCTAACTATAAATTATTTATAACTTTTAAAAAATATATAAAAAAGGGGAATATATATATATATATATATATATATTCATTTATTCAAAGAGTAAGTCTACTTAAATTTATTCTGTTCAATAACTCATGTTTTACATCAAAATTTAAAGATTCAACAATTTAATTTAAAATTTTTAATACATATATCAAGTATGTAAATTTTTAAAAAAATTTAAAAATTATTTAATATTTTATTTCATTAATTCAAATGAATATATAAAATAATTTTATAGTTATCTGTTAATTTAAACTAGGACACCATCATATAGTTATTGAATTTGATTGCAAAAAAGTTGATGTGCATGAACACACGATATACTACTCAAGATATAGATTTCTCATAGACAAATATAAACTCTCCTCATTAATTCTAATGCAAATTTTGAATTTAAGTTCCTTATGAGACAAACTCATCGAGTAATTTATACTCTTGTAAGAGTATTACGATCTTTTATACTAGTCACCTTAATTTCAGTTTTATTCCAACATGTATTGTTCACTTTATTAAGAATAAAATATATATAACAAGTATTTCCCCTTTAAAAAAAACTATACTTAAAAAAAGTACATATATAGAAGAGACAGTAAACCAATATTTATTTATTGCGCTCTAATTAAATTAAAATAATTTTTTAATAAATGAATCACCTAGTTCATCAAAGAAAATTACTTTTAATTAAATCAAACTGATTTTAACTTGATTTATTATTTAAATCGATTCAAAAACTTTACTACGATATATATTTATATATCAAAATAAATAGCCTTTTTGACTTAAAAAAATACCAGAGCCAAAGTACGAAAACTCCAAAATTGATTAATAGTTATATAAAATACAAATTAATGACTAATACTTATATAAAATAAAATAAAACAAAAATAATTTATTGGAGTGCAATTAAGAAAATCATACTAAATATAACATATTAAATCATTAATTTAACCAATTAAGTTATTTATAACAAATAATTTATTTAAATTTGGTATGTAAATGAAGGGTTGTTCTTTATTTATAAACTTTTTGCTTGTCTTATTTTTAATTAATATGCGACTTAAGATTTTTACAATACAATTTCTCATATATAATATTATTGGACTTGGTGCATGTATGTTAAGTCTCAATTATGCTTCTTTTTTGACAAGACTTATTGAACAATTTCAATCATCCTTTGCACCATTGCAACATAATTGTTATCTTTTTGATTTATTTTGTGTGCAAATATAGCTAACCCATAATTTTGCTAACAATACCTTAATACACCTCATTTTTGTGCAGGTATTGAGCTAGAGAATTGAAGATTGAAGGTCCTTAGGATTGGAAATCTAAGGAGCTAAGGAGCAGAGCAGAGTTGCTGCGCCGGGCGCAAGATGACCCGCGTCGGGCGTGATCGAGACAAAGAGTGACTCAAAGTCTCTGGAAGACATTGCGTCGGGCGTAAAAGGAAATGCGCCGGGCGTGTTTTGAGGCAGAGTGCGCTTATCTTCACTGGAAGGCCCTGCGCCGGGCGCAAATACTTATGCGTCGGGCGCAAAACCCTAATCTAACTCCTCAAGTTCGTATTTGAAGCCATTTTCGAGGGTTTTCTCCTCATTCACGCAGGGGCGCCTCCAGGAGCTGCGGAAGGGATTTCCAGGGCTTGGGACCGTTCGTGTGTGGGTCTTTCCTTCGGTTCTTCATTCTCCCTTTATCTCTATTTTGTATTTGCCCTCATTGTTTTGAGTGGTTCTACCCATTTTTTGTGGGGTTAGATGTAACCAACGTACTCTATTGTAATCCTTACGTTTTAATGATATATATATGTTGTTCATTCATTGTTGTGTACGTTTCTATGCTTAATGCTTGCTTTGGATTGATCACCCTTTACATGATTTAAGGTTCCATTAAGTATTGGGAAATACCATTGAAACTAGTTCTGAAACATATGCCCAGTGGGGATTGTATCTAGGGATAAAGCTTGACCCATTAGTAGTCTTAAACCCTAGCCCGTAATGCGGGTGTAGATATTGAGTACTCAAGGAATTGACTAAGGAATTCCTAGTGGGGATTTATATCTAAGGGATTAGTTTTGAGTAAACTTATGGGTTGACTAAGCAATGTATGTAACAAGAGATTAATGATTCATTAGTCCGACGTTTGGTGAAATCTGACCTCACAACCTCACAATACCATTATACCATTTCTACCCTTATCCACTCACAAACAAATATTTTTATAGCTTTCATTCCAATAGTCATAACTTTTGATTCAACTTGCATGACAAACTATGAAATTAGAATCATTCTTTAGTCACGAATAGTCAATAAATACTTATGTTACCTTCTAATCCCTGTGGATACGATAATTTTACTACTTGAACGACTGATATACTTGCCGCGTTTGAGACCGTTGATAGAATTAAACTGATTTACAATTATAACAAAAGTATTTCAACGGAAATCTCAACAATGTATAAATGGTAAGTAACTATTTTAGAGTGCATATAAGATAGTTTTGATACCATCATAGAATGTGAGTTTAAATCTAACTCAATCTTATAAAATTAACTTATAAGATAAAGGTTGTCTTCTACTTAATTATAATTTATAGTCGATGTGAGACTTAATTTTTTTTCAATATAATTCTCACATCAAAGACTTGGTATGTGGATAGAGACTGAATAACCTTTTTTTAATAATTTATGATAAGTGAGACATAAATTTTTTCAATACACCTCTACAAGTCGACCAACACTTTTGTGCTTTTTACATGTGTGGATAATGATAGTAACCCTTTTAGAATAAATTTAAGATATTTATGATATTATCTTAGAATATGTATTTGAACCTAATTCAACTTTATAAAATTGATTTATAAGATAAAAATTATCTTTTATTCATAAACTCTTTATATGTATTATATATATATATGGTTATAATAATACCAGTGTGACTTTTATTAAGTATTACACTGCTCAATAACTTAATATTAAATGTGAATTTTGTAAATCCAACTGTTAGATTAATTTTTTTTTACTCTTAGATCATATATACAAAATTTTATATTAATTCAAGATAATTTAATACTTTATTTTTATAAAAAAAATTGATATAATATATTTATTTTAAAATATACTAAAATATGAACACTTTGATTACTTTAAGTTTTTGTTCAATTTTAATAAAATTTGATATAAACATATAAAGTGATATAAACTTTTAATCAAACGGTTGAATTTATAAAATTCACATTTAATATAAAGTTATTGAGCGGTATAATACTTAATAAAAATTACATCAATATTATTATAACCCTCCTTTTATATAATAGATGTGACAATTTTATTTTTCCGATACTTGTTAATCAAACAATTATTTTTCTACACTAATAAGGAGAACGTCCAATAGAAAATATATGTATGCAATAATTTATTTTCTTTTATCATTAAGGTAGCAAGCTATCCTATTGTTATATTGTTATCAGGCTGTATCCCCTCAGGCTTCAATTATTCTTTTAACAATGTACTTATTAATTAGTATTTTACTTTTTTATAGATAAGTTTAGTATTTAACTTAAAATTAAATTAACTTATAATTATTCTTCAACTCTTTGAATAAGATTTCATTTTAACTTATCTGTACAAGTACAACCAGATGTTTAAGATAATAATAATTATTATATTTTTAATTATACTCTTATCCCTATGTATTTTTTAAATGTTTCGAACACGTATTATGGATGAGAGAAATAAGAGTAGAACGACGCTAAAAAATAATAATATACAAATATGTTGATTATATTTTGAATATATGATTTTATAATTAATGTGGAGGAATAAAAAAATTAAAGAGAGTAATTGAATTCAAAAGAGAAGGAAATAAAAGAAGAGGTGAGCTCTGAGCTTCCCCCAAAAAAGGGTCAACATCGAGTACCATTGTAATGCAACCACGACAAAAAAAATTCGTGGTGGGTCCCGTTACGGAAGGTTCATACGGTCTTTGTCCAATTTCCCTTCTTTTCGGCGATAATTTTGCTTTTTTTTTCAAACTTTTCAAATTACTTAAAATTATAATTAAGTAGTAAATGAATAGAATATAATTAAAATAAGAAATCTTACTTAAAACTGTTAAATAAACTCGTAAAACCAATAACGCAATTAATTTGTTTGTTAATTGAGTGATTAAATTGGTAATGATGGAAGGAAAGAAAAAGCAATGAAAGGTCCTTGTTAACGAAGACAAGAACAATAGGTTAGGCCGTAGCTAGCCACCAGTGATTAGGCCTGTTATCCCATTTAATAGCCTTTCCACCGCCACGTGTCGGTCTCCCTCTACTTTCACCGCTGCATTAATTAATTAAAATATTAGTACGAGTACATTCCATTGAATTTATGAAGAGAGAGGTAATGAAATACTAACAGTAGCAACAGCAGAGAGAGACAGAGCAGTGTCTGACTCTGAGTGAAACATCCATTCTCCTCTTCCTCCTCCTCCTCAACCTCTTCCTCGTGATTCCCGAACATTCTCTTCTTAATTCAGCTCCACGCGCGCGCTTCCGCTACTCGCTCCCTCCATTCCTAGGGTTTCGCTTCTTAAACGCTGAATGCGGCTTCTCTCCACCGTTCGCGCTTGATTCATTCCACCACAATGTCAGGCCCGCTCGACCGTTTCGCCAGGCCCTGTGCGTTCCTCTTCTCCCTCGCTTAGGGTTTCGGTGGGTTTCGACGCTCTCTGACGCGTTTCGCTTCGGTTGTTGTTGTTGTTCTTCTTCTTGTTGCAGGTTTTGAAGGCTTCTCCGGGAGCGACGAGAAGAAGGAGAGGAGATCTGACTTCGAGAACTCCGAGGACGAGAGGAGGACCAGAATCGGATCTCTGAAGAAGAAGGCGCTGAACGCCTCCTCCAAGTTCAAGCATTCGCTCAAGAAGAAGAGCAGCAGGAGAAAGAGCGATGGACGCGTTAGCTCTGTTTCCATTGAAGATGTTCGCAACTTCGAGGAGCAGCAGGCCGTTGATGCGTTTCGCCAGGCCTTGGTTATGGACGAATTGCTCCCTGAAAAGCACGATGATTACCACGTCATGTTGAGGTGCCTTGCTTTACCAAAATTATCGCTGGTTTCAACTGCGTTACCTTTTTTTTTCCCCCCCTTAATTTTTGCATTTTACAGGTTCCTGAAAGCGAGGAAGTTTGATATTGAAAGGGCGAAGCATATGTGGGCTGATATGCTGCAATGGAGGAAGGAGTTTGGTGCCGACACCATTATGGAGGTAAATGCGGATACAATTCGGATAAGAGTTGTTTGGAATAATTTCCTCGGAATCACATGAAGAAAAAATGAAACATATTTCTTCGTGAGCTAAAATTAGCTTATGAACATGCTAGTTTCTAAAAGCTTTCTTATTAAGCTTAACCAAAAAATTAAAGATTAGCTTGTGCATAAAAGAAAAAATTATTTCATTTTTCATTTTTATTTTTTTTCTTCCAAGAGTATTTCAGGAGAAGTTTATTGAAACAGGCTTAAATATATAGGTACATTTAAAGATTAGCCTCTGTGGAGGTGGAGGTTGGATTTTGTGCTTAATGTTTTGTGTTTGTATTAGGATTTTGAGTTCAAGGAATTAAATGAGGTCGTGAGGTATTATCCACATGGGCATCATGGGGTTGATAAGGAGGGAAGGCCTGTTTACATTGAGAGGCTTGGGAAGGTAGATCCGAACAAGCTTATGCAGGTTACGACCATGGATAGATATGTAAAATACCATGTACAGGAGTTTGAGAAGTCTTTTAAGATAAAGTTTCCTGCTTGCACAATTGCCGCCAAAAGGCACATTGATTCAAGCACCACGATTTTAGATGTTCAAGGCGTGGTATGTTACGATTAATTGTTACTTGTTGCGTTTGCCTGTGGATTACTGTGACGTATGGAAAATTTATGTTGTAATTTCAACTTTTAGGGCCTTAAGAACTTTACAAAGTCTGCACGGGATCTCATTATGCGATTACAAAAGATTGATGGTGACAATTACCCTGAGGTGAGATTCTCAGTTTGTGTGTAATTTTGATACCTTACAATCCTTGTTTTGATTTCATCCCTAAAGAGCATGTACTAAGATCTCTGCCATTGCTGATTAGAGATTTTTTTTTTTTCTCTTTTATAAATGACACAGACTCTTTGCCAAATGTTTATCATAAATGCTGGCCCAGGATTTAGGTTGCTATGGAACACTGTCAAGTCTTTTCTTGATCCCAAAACAACTTCGAAGATCCATGTATGTAAAAATGCTATATTCTAGCTTCCTAAGGGCTAAAGCTCTTTTCATGATGGTTTAAGGCTGCTGACATTACTTGGTGCCTCTGTACTTAGGTTCTTGGAAACAAGTACCAAAGCAAATTGCTTGAAGTAATCGATGCCAGGTACGTAATGGCCCTATTTCTCTGTATAGTGTATATGTATGTTAGAAATTTTGTAATATATTTTAGTATTAATCAATGTATTCAAATTTTTAGGCATTACTACCAATTTACACCATCCTTTAAAAGGCCTAATATTTTTGTGCACTTAATGCAGTGAGTTGCCAGAATTTCTGGGAGGTACCTGTACCTGTGCAGATCAGGGAGGTTGCCTCAGATCTGATAAAGGGCCCTGGAAAAACCCTGAAATACTGAAGGTTATATATTAGCCTTTCTTCTTTATAGGCTTAACACGTGTTCTACGGATCAATCTTGCTACATGCTAACTGTTAATTTTACACGGACATTATGCAGATGATTCTCAGCGGTGAAGCACGGCGGGCAAGGCCAGTAGTAAAAGTTCTAAATAGTGAAGGGAAGGTTATTGCATATGCCAGACCACAATACCCAATGGTAATATATTAATTGTATGGTTTATTATTGCTTGAACTGGGTTGAGGCTGATTTGATTCCTTTGTACCTCTTCAGTGTCCTTTTCATTGTGTTACTTTATTGATTGCGGCACTTCCTTCTTGCAGGTAAAAGGCAGTGACACATCCACAGCTGAATCAGGGTCTGAAGCTGAAGATATAGCTTCTCCAAAAGCGATGAAGAGCTACTCACACCTGAGGTTGACACCTGTTCGCGAGGAGGTAATTGTTGACTTTGTGATCTGTTAAGTCAATTGTTTTCATTAAATGGCAGAAGTTTAAAATGACTCATTGACTGATTATATATTTATTATGTGAGTTTAATGTGTATTTGATTAAATGCACCGAAGATATTCACTATATTTAAAGATATCACGAGGATGATCAAAATATAATGCTTCTCAAGGAACTTGTCCTAGGTTTGCCCTGTTATATTCCAAACACAGAAGTAATTTATACTGTGTTCTGTCAGGCTAAGGTTGTTGGAAAGTCAACCTATGTTGGTGGTGGTAACTTAGCTGGGTATGATGAATATGTTCCAATGGTGGACAAAGCCGTTGATGCTGCATGGAAGACACAAGTGTCACTCCAGAGGTCTCAAACATCAAAAGGTTAACAACTTAAGATTTATATTGCTATATTACCCTTTCTATGAATCTTCTCTTTGTTCTTATTTACCAAAATTCAATACAGATACTTAAAAAAACCTGTGGATTAAAATGTTGTGGCTGCTTTCAGTTAAGGCATGCAGAAATGTATTAATGTCATGAGCTTAGGTGAAAGCATAGTGACACTCATTATGCTTTAACCTTTGCAGGACATTTGATGACTGTATATGTATTAATAATGTCATGAGCTTTGGTCTATAATATTGTGTCATAACAAATAATATAAAAGGTAATGCTCGATTAAATCATGAATTCTGACTAATGAATGTTTGACTGAAATTAACTGATATTTTTATAGTCTATTGGAGACCATGAACTTGATTTTCTTTTAACACTCATGCTCTTAAGCAAGCTGTGCACCATTTACTTATAGCCATAATTAACAACCCACTCCCTTGTTTTTAAAATCTAATCCTTGTTTTTAAAATCTAATGCTTTCAGCTTTTGATATTTAAATTTTTTCACCAACTTGAAAAACATGATAGTAAACTTCAATTTACGAAAATGGTGTATTATATCTGGTGCACTTATAATTTCTAGTTGGTTAGAGACAAACCATTTTCAGGACCCATAACTTTAAGAGTTTTAGATCTTGGAACAGTTGATCCATGACTTGATATTTATGATCTGCCAATGCTTTAAGCTCAAAAGACTTTCATTTGAGGAGTGTATTTGGGATTATAAACACTTCCAAAGTCCCTATTTTAAGCTTTTGGAAGATCTAGTTCTTTGCTTGGTTTCTTGATTTGAATTATTTGGTGTAATTTTCACGAGGATTGTTAAATTGAAATTTCCATTACAGGAACACCTCCCCTCCCTGACACTCCAAGAGCTCCTGAAGGGATTCGGGCTCGGATTTTGGTAGCTCTAACTGTCTTCTTTATGACACTGTTTACTCTCTTCCGTTCTGCTGTATGCCGCGTGACCAAGAAACTTCCTGCAGTATCATCTAATAATTGTCAGGGAACTTCAGAGCCAACTCTTGATACAACAAACAATGAGGACAGTCATCCTCCTTCTCCAACTCCATCATACACAGATGCAAATCTCCTTTCCTCCATGATGAAAAGGTTAGGTGAGCTTGAAGAGAAGGTTGACACCCTCCAATCTAAGCCATCTGAGATGCCTTATGAGAAAGAGGAATTGCTAAATGCTGCTGTATGTCGGGTGGATGCTTTGGAAGCAGAGCTAATTGCAACTAAAAAGGTAGGGTGCTATAATTTTATTTTTTAAAAAAACTGTAGTCATGATGATGCACTTCACATGTGGATATCTATTACACCGAGGTATTTTCATGTCTTATTTCTTATTTTTTGTTATCTTTAACGTCAACTAAAATCCTTATCCTACCTTACTCATGTTATCGGGCTGCTATGTGAATACACAGATGGGCACATTCTTAAATAATCAATGCTATATTTTTCTTCATGTCTAATTTTATTTTTATGTTAAACATTTATTGCTTAAAATACATTTGCACTTTATGGATTGTTCGATAGGCTCTTTATGAAGCATTGATGAGGCAAGAAGAGTTACTTGCTTACATTGATAGTCAAGAAGAAGCTAAGTTACGGCGGGTAAGTTTGTCTCTTGTATCTCTCAACACAATTGAAAACTTGGGATGTTATTCAAATTTCTGATACTTATAATCACTTCATTTTGCTGCTTATCAGAAAAAGTTTTGCTGGTGAGTTTTGTTGCTGATAGAAAAGGACGATGGGAGAGAGGGTGTTTCCAATCATGGTGCTCCTAGGAGTGTTGACCTTGCACATGATGTTGAACTCTGAACACTGATTTTCAGTTTAATGAGTAAACTAAAAATTGTTTCAAACACGTGTATAGCTAGAATGACTTATTTGCTGGATTAAACACAAGCCTTGTTTTTTGCTCTGGCTACCTTTATTTGTTGTATTTGGTGTGATTGTCTTTGTTATTGTTAGTGGTTTGAAAAGCGTTCGTTCTTCTGTTCTCATAACTTACATTGAATATTAATCTATTCTGGGGGATAGCGAGGGTGAATAAAGGTAAAAGAAAAATAATCCCCAACTATAATTTTTCTCGCAAAGATTTGAGGAAATTGAGCATATTTCTTGCTAAAAACCCTCAGACCTCAGACACGTGAGCAATGTTTATTTTATTTCTCAAATTTAAAGACAAAGATGCTAAGGGGCTTGTGCATATATGGTCCAATATACCGAATATGTGGATTCGGTTGGCTTAATTACCGTAATCTTTTGGTAGTTGCTGGTGGTTGAAATAAAGATCCGTTTGTCAAATAGGTAGTTGTGGAGATTTACGAAAATTGAAAATGTTTGTCATAGGTTGGAAGTACGTTTACTTCATTAGAGGGACAAAAAATCTACCATTTGGTTGAATTAGCTAGCTTAAGTCTTTCTAGATTTTTTTTTTTAACAATTTTGTCTTTACACAAGATGTAATTTCTACAAAAGAGGGGGAAATATAGCTCATGTCTCGTGAATGCATGAGTTACTTTCAATAACCTTTTTTCTCAAATTATAGGTTACGAAGAATAGATGGGGTTAAAAAAAGTTTTTACGGAACTATTGTTACTCGACTTTCTAATCTGATTTTTGTTTAATTACGTCTCGCCTATTTTTATTGAACACATATATACACAATTGTCAAGGAATGGCACACTATTATGCAGAAGATTTCAGTTGAATAGCTGATAAATTATACATAGGTGAATGCAATAGCATCCGGTGGGGCTGGAGCTGATGATTAAGAAACGCCACCAACAAATTACAACTCTTTCTAATGTTACATATTTGAGGTCAGACAGCAATAGGTACCTATCTTCTTACCAACGGAACTGCAATAATAAACCCAAAGTCATGTGTAAGCGAAAGCAGTCAAAGCACTACCACACTGCGTATAAGTACTGCCTATTAAAATATGCATGGCAAGTCATGGTTCAGTGTCAAAGTTCCGATTACTTACAAACTTCTTTTTCTTTTTGGCAACGTGGGCTTGGAGATCCACTTGTCGAGTAAGGGCATCATTAAGTGCCTAAAGGAAATAAAATATTTCAAATAAGTTAGCAGTCAGCACATGAACGATGCACCTATCATTTTTCTTTTTTTCTTTTTTAATCTTGATATAGGTACAAAATATTTATTTTTAGAAGCAGTGATTAATCTCTGTAAGAAATTCCAAGTGCACACATCTTTTACTATAAGATGCTTGTATCACATGTTATTCTCAAATGATGATGGCATGCAAGTATCAAGGAAAACCAATAATACCTTTTTGGTAGTATCCAATTCTTGCTCTAGAGTGCTGACTCTCTTTAGAGCATTGTTCAGCATTGCTTCCAGTTCAGGTGGTATGGCAGGTTTCATAGAGAGGACTTTCACCTTCTCTTCTAGTTCAACCATGCGCTTCATCAGGGCCATTTGATCATCAGCGGAAATAACAGGTGCTTTCATCATATTGCTTTCAGAATATACTGGATTACTATAAAAGGCAGCTTCAGTGACTTTCTTTGGCATGCTCTTTGTCATGCGGATCATTGTTATAATTCCCATAAGAAGGGCCATGATTCCGCCAGTAAATGGATTTCTAAACCCGTTAGAAGCATTGCTAGGTAAACAATCTGCAGCTTGAGCAAAAATTGTTTAATACTAACAAACTCAAAAGGTCTCAAATCCATATGAAACTTGGCTATACTTCTGGCCAGTTATATCAGTGATTGAAAACACCACAAATCCATTCACAGATATGCAAGTATAATCTTAACCAGTAAGAACAATGATACAAATTACAGAATACCTTTAGAAAGTGCAAGTTGATCATTTTGTACGGCTTTTTCCCAAGATGCATTGACCGGCTTGTCTATCACAGGGACAAAGGTTAACTGTTCTGCGATCTGCCAATATGTAAGGGCAATGCCCAAAGAGCAGTTAATTCTGCAGTTATCTTTTCATCAATCATTTGTTTTATCTATACATGTTGTAAGAGGATATTATTTAGAAGCAATCTTTTTTATTTTCACTTTTTTATTAGATAATTTTACCTCTAAATTCACATTATACACTTTATATTTTTTAAAATTACTGACTCTCTACAATAAAAATACTACCGTTATGTATTTCTAAATTTGAATATTTTTTTTGCTACAACTATTTTTTCTCTTCCTCTACGATGTAAATTATTAAATGTTATTCATCTGCAAAGCCTTGAGATTATAATCTAAGTCAATTACTATGATTAGTTTTAAGAAAGTAATTTGGAATCTAATTTAACCTTACAAAATCAATTTATAACGTGAGAAATACTTTCCATTTATATACACTAGTATGGTCATTTCATTAGTCAATGAAAAATTTTCAATACAAGATTCGACATCTGTGTATGAGTTAATAATGATTTGATAGTAGATGACTCGATTGGTTCTAATGCCATGTAAGAAACTAATTTGAAACCTAATTTAACCTTATAAAACTAATTTGTAAGGTGAAAGTTGTCCTTTATTTATAATTTTTTTATTTGTCTCACTATTAGATTCGATATATGGATAAATAATGAGTAACCCTTTTTAATAATTTAAGATAGGTCAAACTTGAATTTTTTCTAATACACCTCACATCTAATATTATTAGGTTTGGTGCATGTATAAATACTGGATGACTTTCTTTAGTGAATCTAAGATAGTTTTGATATTATTTTAGAATGTAAGTTTAAGTCTAACTTAATTTTACAAAATTAGTATGTAAAGTGAAGATTGTCCCCTAATTACAAACTTTTTGTTTAATCTCTAGTCACTTGAGTTTTTGCCAATAACCAGGTAAAGTATCTGCATCATGCTAATATATGCAGTTTCCTTAACTGGTTAGCGCAATAAGTAATATGTACAATGGAAGCAACAACTGATTGAAATCTAAGGAACTTACATCTGGAGCAGTAACGAGTTCGGCATGCCCCCCTTTTGGCAGAAAAACATCGCATACCTTAATATTTTAGGAGAGAAAAAGGTAATCAAGTCATTAGATTTCCTGGCAAATAAATATGATGGGAAGAAAGTTTCGGAACAAAACTGAATTTGAAATTGTAAAGTAGTTAGCTAACTACCTTTCGGAATGTTGGTTCGTCGTCAAGCATTGCTTTCTCTTCAATCCCGGACAAGGTTTTCCTCATGCATTTTCCTTCTCCATTTTGAACCATCTAATTAATCCAAAGAAAACACTTCATTATTTTCTATTTTTATTATACAAATAAAATGAAATTAATCTTACTATCACAACAAAAAAAATATTATATAATAACACAATACTTATTAAAAATTACTTTTACTTACACCATAAATATAATAAATATTGGTATATTATTAAAAATATAGGTATAAACTATAATGATACATAATATATATTGTGAAATCTTATTTAAAATCAAAGTGTATAATTACTATATTTCAAATAGATTTATATCTTCAAATTTTATACTTATAATAACATTTTTTATATGTCATAATATGTAATTTTTCTTATAGTCTACCTTGAAGATGTCTGGGTCATTCCATGGTCCCTTGTCTGAAAGCAAACAACCACCTTTGTCTCCACAAGTACAAGTACCACCCAAGAACTCTGGAAGTTCACTGGTAAATAATAAATATGAACAACGTGTTATGTCTAGTCCTAAGTAACAATGTTATTCACTTATTCAGTCACATATTTACATGATCATAAATGGTTATTAGTTATTACTCAATCTAAACTATGTATTAGTATATGACCTTCATGTCTTAAATTTCAATTGATATGAGAATGAAATAAAGTACTTTAACGAGGATCGAGGAAAACATTAACCTGGCATCAATGATTTCAAGCAACTTGCTCTGGTATTTGTTACCTAGTACCTGGTCAACAAAGCATTAATCTGTTGAGTGCTCCTACTTAATTGAAACCTACATCGCCTCATAGTGAGACAGGTATTAAAAAGATGCTTACGTGGATTTTTGAGGTGGTCTTAGGATCAAGGAACGACTTAATAGTGTTCCACAACAGCCTAAATCCAGAACCAGCATTGATGATGAACATACGGTTCAAGGTCTGTGAAAAGAAAAGTTCAACCAGGGTAAATTCAGAAGGTGGCATTTGAGCTAAGAAAGTAGCGAACGACTGAATACTACCTCAGGATAGTTGTCACCATCAATCTTCTGAAGACGCTGGATGAGATCCCTTGCAGCTTTGTTCAAACTCTTGAGACCCTGAAAACCCATGCTAGTCAGCAGTTAGTTTACATATGTAACAGTTGATAATATGATATGACATGATATCTACAATTATGACAGGAAGTGTAGAGCACCTCCTTAAATGTAAGGTGACTATCAGTTAATTAAGATGTTATAGTACTTCTGCTCTTGCTAGTTTTTGTTCCCTCCCAACTCAAAGCCAATTAAAGTAAACTGTTCTAATTGGACATATGCGAACTATTGTATTTGTTATCTACCGACTTAGCCAAGATAACAGCTCAGTGGTTTGGCTTTAATAAGGGATAGATGTAATCGTGCCAAAGCTTCATCAAGTGTTTTAATACACTCAAATACAAGTATATAACATTTTATTAGGGTTAAGAGGAAGGAGGGTATACTTTCTGAGTGTTCTGGACATGAACATCAGCTAGACTTTTCTAGGTGTTTTCTATAAGGAACAGTTTTATTTGGGCACAGGGATTAGAAATGTAGAGACTATATATGTAGCAGTTGTGTTGCATAATTTCATTCATACATACCACTCCTTGCACATCCAAGATAGTTGTGCTTTGGTCAATGTGCTTCTTTGCTGCAATTGAACAGGCAGGGAACTTAACAGTGAATGTCCTCTCAAATTCTCTTACGTGGTACTTAAGATAGCGATCCATAGTTGTTACTTGCATCAGCTTGTTAGAGTCCACCTGACCCAACCTTTCAATGTAAACAGGCCTCCCTTCCTTATCAACTCCATGATGCCCTTGTGGGTAGTATTTTAGAACTTCTTCTATCTCCTTGAATTCAAAATCCTTGACCAAAAAACAAAAGAAATTTTGGTTAGCCAGCCACATGAAAAAAATGTTGCCTAGAAAAGTATAATTCTGAACATTGTTTTTTTTTATTCCTAGGTAAATACCTCCATGATGGTGTCAGCACCAAACTCTGCCCTCCACTGAAGCATATCTGCCCACATTTGTTTTGTTTTATCAATGTCATACTTCCTTGCCCTCAAGAACCTGGATCACCATATAGTAAAACATTGAGTGATACAACTCATGTTACATCTATTAGTGAATAAATGAATGAACAAGAAACTATGTCCTAAGGGCTACCTTAACATCATGTGATGATCATCATGTTTTGAGGGTAATAGCTCTTCCAAGACTAGTGTTTGACGAAAAGCATCAACTACTTGCAACTCTTCTGCATCAAGATCATCCTCAATAGCAACAGACATAACCCTGCTATGCCTCCTCCCCTTCTTATGCAAGGAATGTTTGAACTTTGAAGATGCATTGATTGCTACCTTTTTCAAAGACCCGAGCTTCGTCTTCTTTTCATCCTCTAAATATTCAATATTCTCAAGACCTGCTTTTGCAGAAAAAATAATTAACTCGCCCAAGTTTGAACAAGAAGACAATATAGACATAAGAAATTCACAAGCTAGACAATCTTACAAATATAAAGCACATGTTTGTCCAATTTTAATAGTACAACACTAATAATTTGAATTTGTAACTGTTTTCTTTTAGCTATCAACCTCACATTACGATCATCCTAATGAAAGACACTAATTGAAACACACTAACGGAACTCTCGGTTTTTAATTTTTAATCTCATATTTATACTATATCCATAATGCATACCACAAATAATTGTCCATTGATCATACGTTTAGACTAAAGACATTGTAAAGGAAAGCACAGAGAAATAAATCATCTTGATTTCAATCATTGATTCCTCTAATCGGTGAATAACTTTAGTAACATAACAGCATTCTAAATAGTAAATGTTTGTCTGTTAATTATAATCATCTGCTTTCAGCTTCCTTTGGTTTTCATTTTTCTCATGAACGTCATGCATTGAACAAGATTCAAAACTGTTATATGCCATATACAAACATAACATGTATAATATATAAAAATTCCTTTCCCAACACATGCATAAATGAAATTAAAATGCAAAGGGAAGGAAACTGCAATACAATACAATAGATTTACCAGCTTTAGCAGGTCGATCTATAGTAGGTATCGACATAGTGTCACACATGATTAATTATTGAACCTCGTAAGCTTCCTCAAATGAGCCGTAAGTAATGCAGAAGAGAATCAACAACGAACATATGCGCCTACACCTTAACTTTATTAGCCATGAAACAACATGCACGTTAGAAGCAGAAAAGCCAATCCTTATTCAAACAGCAATAAAACAAGTCAAACTCCTCCATAATATTCAGCATGCATGAGAAAAGAAAAGCCAAAGAAACAAAGATATTGTCACAATGATATATATACTTAATGCATATATCAGATGGAATTAATATCTATGGTGGCTGAAAAAGTTGATGATTCAACATGAAAGAGAAGTATAACAAGAAAGAATGGTAGGAGAAGAAACCTCGTGAATCAACAGGAATGTAGGCGATGCAAAAGCAAGAGATGAGAAATATATGATCCGAATATATCGATGCAAAATGGGAAGCGAGGTTGGTGCAACTCATAATTAGAGTTTGCCGTTTTTTGTTTATTTACTTAATTATTGCATCGATCAACGTTGCTATATACTAGAAGGAATACAGATGGAGATGGTGTTGGCGAAATGCATGCAACTCCGTTCTTTCATACACTACGCAACCCAACCGATTCATCTATACTTTCTATATGCTTTACTGTTTTCTTATTTTTGGCTCTCTTTAACATATTTGGTTCTTTTCATTTATAGCGTTTAATAGTTTTAACTATATTTTAGTATAACTTTTTCTAGTTACGTTTTGTTTACTTTGATTGCTTTAATATATACGAGTCTAGTTAAAGTCTACCCTTAACCTATTGATAATTTACTTTTAATTATATATGGACACATGCACCTAAACCATACTTTCACGTGCATGCGAGCTTGTTCAATTAAAGATAAAGAAGAAAGTAAAAATAAGGGAGTTAGATAGCTTTTTAAATATTTTGTATTCTCATGTAGAAAAATTGTTAGGACACTTTTTTAACGACAAATGATTATCCTATCTAATTAAAAGAGATGCGACCACTTATAAAATTTATAATTTTTAATAAATTTTAATAATAATTAATAGTGTTCCTATCATTTTCCTATATATTTACTCTCTGTGTATACTTCCATTGGATCTTGTATATAAATTTATTCAATAATTAATAATGAATTGTTACCCCAAAACTATTTCAAAAACCAGATCAAATATCTAAGAATTATGATTACCCAGAATTCCAAATGGAAGTAATTCATATTACAAACAACTAATTTTCTTTTCAATATCTTTCTAAAAGTGATTGAAAAGAACTTTTGGGCTTTGGCCTATTATCTTGTATTTCCTCATTTTAAAATGAACTCTTACTTTTGTGCATCATTTATATGGTTTAAAACTTTACCTCATTCTAAGAATCTAAATGCACATGGATATGGGATCCAGTCCTACGTAAGATATCCACAATATTCTCGGAAGGACCAATTGAACAGAAACATTATGTTATGTAAAACATAGAATGCATGTTAACATAAATGTTGTTTGGAGTTCTTGTTAATTAATGCATTAAAGCAGAGTATTGAATTTCTCCTCGCTATAATTGGTTTGTTATGTCTATACATTGAGTACACTATTCTAAGTAGGTTGAAAATTTCCCTTTTTCATTTTTCATCTTCTAATAACACTATTACATATCAGATATTGGTAAATCCTTTTTCCCGATTAGATTATTAATTAATTAACAGCATATACATTGTTATTAACAGCGCAAAAACGACGTAAGATTTGCAGCGTGATGGTGTGGCCATTCATAATGTAGCTGCTTACCGCATTAGATTGGGAACAACTTGCAATTGAAAGCATGTTTCCTTAAAAGGTGATTGAAGTGAAACTTCTTATCTAAAATTATAAATGAATGTGTGAGGGTGGCATGAAATAAATTGTTCAGCACTTAATGAAATCAACATTAAGATGTATTGATTAATTATACACATTTTCTCTTCCATCCACCTACATAAAGAGTGTAGGGTTATAATAACTTGCGATTATGATTGTCTAGCAGATCTATGTTTAGTCTTGCAGTTGATTGACTTTGGGCTTCGTTATAGTTGAAACGTTTATTAAACAATCCCTATTAGTATTTGAGGTAACAGCATAACTAGAAATTAGTAGTTTTGTTTTTGTTTTATTTTATTTTATTTTATTTTATTTTATTTTTACATATTCCACGCAACACGTAATAACATGCTATAGTCATTACACTTAATGAAACAACTACTAGTAGAAAAACATACAAATTACCTAAGGCAAACACATAAACAATTCATGGATATATACAAGATATATATACATACATGTGAGCAACTAAATATACAATTATATATATGCATTTGTACAATAATCCAAAAGCTATAAAGTATAAGTTTAGGTTGTTGGTTAAGCAACTACAACAAAACTATACAATATCACAAGCAATAGCACCAAGTTACTCGCCAACAACATTATGGTTCCAAAAAAATTAGCATTGAACCTATCTTTATTCTACTCTCATGCATGCATGTAAACATAATCACAATAGTCCAACTACTAGGAAGATCCACAACCATATAGTGAATATAGAAGTAAAAGTATATATACTAACAACAACTTGAACATGTAAACCATATAACAACCTAGAGTAAGATCCACAACTCAACACCACAACCAATCACCTCAACATGACATTTAACACCTTACAAGAGTAAGAGATTCAATAATGTATGACAAATCATATTTCACTACACTAGTGACATTCAACCATGTAATCAACAAGCATGTGAACAATAACAAATCACACCACATCATATGCATACACCTAAATTAATGTGTTGTCACATATTACCTACAAAGATCTCCTATAATTGGATTAATTAATAGTCTAAGTGACTTGACTTTATCGAATCAACATGACCTTTTTACACCTACTACTAGGTCAACAACCAAATTGGGATACCAATAGGATAGAAAAATTTAGGTATAAGGCTACCATAACATTAGATTGCAACACAGCCTCCTATAGAATGAGTCCACTAACTACCCTTTAAATACTTGCTTTTTCAATGCTCAATTAGGGACTAAGTCCTCGACATTATACCTTACTCACTTGGTTATTTTATATACGTATGTCTCAACCTTACTCGCATATAGATCAATATCGGTCACTTATAGTCGATATACCTCGACCTAGTCCACATACTACATCAATTAAGGTCTTAGAGAAGACTCAACAGTCCACTCAAAGACATTACACCTACTCAAGAAAGGTTTTTCAATAATTGGACTCATAAAGCACCATATCAATTTTTTCACAATAAGATATCCAACTTTCAAAAGCAACCTCTCCTCTAATCCTAAGTCAATCAAAATGCCTAAATATTCATAGCATTCTCCGCATCAGACCTCAATAGTATATCAACACAACATGCCTAAATATCTAAAGCATTTTCAACATCACACCTCAACAGTTCAACATTATAATGGATTCATTTACCCCATAGAAAAAATATCACCAATCAACATACAACATATAATGGATTCATCTATCCTATCCATGTTCTCCAATTAATTATGTAAAGAAGTTATTATAAGGCAATTTGAGTCTGACACCATTGAAGAAAGGAGCTTTTTGTCTCGCTTAGGCCCACCACCATACAACTCGCACTCAATGTGGATTAGGTAGCGACCCTAAGGCCCTCGTGCCTAGCATGGCAAAGTTCCGCACCTAGTCCCAAATCAAGCAAAGACGATTCTTTCACATCACGCTCAACATCACTTCGTTGATGTTCGACATCAATCTAGTCAAAGTTAATTCTCTCACTTTACGCTTGTCGCCACTAATCATGTGCCTGATGTAAGAAAGATAGAGAACCTTTGATTGAAATCACACCTGACGCCATGAAGGTACGCGTGATGTAATGATGAGTTTTGCAAAGTTCCACACCTAGCATGGCAAAGTTCCGCACCTAGTCCCAAATCAAGCAGAGACGATTCTTTCACATCACGTTCAACATCACTTCGTTGATGTTCGACATCAATCTAGTTAAAGTTAATTCTCTCACTTTACGCTTGTCGCCACTAATCATGTGCCTGATGTAAGAAAGATAGAGAACCTTTAATTGAAATCACACCTGACGCCATGAAGGCACGCGTGATGTAATGATGAGTTTTGCACTTAACAAACTACGAATTTGGCTTAATTCATCTGAAAAACAAAAAATTCCCACATGCAATGCGACAATATATATATATATGTAGACACACACATATTATCATCATCATCCACAACTCATTTCCAACCAAAGATAGCACATGCAACAACATCCATGGTAGAATCATCAAGATTTCTTCAACATGCTTCCAACAGTCAAAACTACAACTTTCATCGTATAATTCAAAAATTCAACATACACAACCACATTTTGATAACAATCAAACAACATGCAAATCATACAACTCAGCACAAAAGGTTCTAACTTCCCTTACCTCGGAGTCAAAGTGAACTAAGAAAGTAGAAAAAAAAAAAGCATCTTTTGAGATATCACTAAAGCTTTGCACCAATCACAACCTTGATTCTCAACTTCTAGGCTTCAAATCAACAATCCAACAACAAATCAATGATGATCTCCTATGTCTTCCAGGAGCCTAGAAAGAAGAAAGAGAATATTAGAGCCCTAAAGTCCTTCTTTATAAGATTTTTTAAGAATTGGACTTATGAAGCTCTATTTTAAAAGAAATCTTATATATCTTTCCCATAGGATCAAAATGGACTTCTGTCCAACAAAACCCTCTAAACACCCAAAAACTTCTCAAGAGTTCTTTAACTCCCAAAATCTCTCAACATCGCACCTCAACGCATTTCAATATAAAATTATTGCTAAAATACAATAATTAACAAAAATTTATAGTGTTACATAGTATCTCAAAGCTGAAAACAAAGACTAATATGTACTTGTGGGAAGTAACTTTCGTCGACCAAACATTACTTGAGAGCACTAGATCAACCTTCATTCCTTAGGATAAACCTTACAATCATTGGATCAAAATGTTTGATTAGTTTTAGACATTAATTTGATATAAATATAAAATATTAAAAGGACAAGTGTTTATAATAGATTAACAATATATCCAATACATCATTTTTTACACCTTGTAGAATTAATGTGATGAACCACTAGGATTGACCTAATGGTGAAAATTAGAATGATATGCACAATTTATTAGATTTAAATCTTTATGTTATTATTATAATTTTAATAAATAAAAAATAATTAATTAATTAATGTGACACATATTAAATAAAAAATTATGATAAAAATTAATAAATAATGTATTATTTCAATTCTATCTCCATTTTTCTTTCACCCCACTTCTATCATATATTTAAATGAAAAATTATAACCCCACTTCTATCATATATTTAAATGAAAAATTATAATAACAATTAATAAATAATATATTATTTCAATTCTATCTCCATTTTTCTT